CTTGGCTAGGCTCGACGCCTCAGGAAAGCCTCCAAACGTTGTTAGCGTTTTGTCCGGCTAATATCCTAACACTGATGACATAAAAGCGGCAGGGCGACGAAACTAAACGTCCCGGCTACGCGCACCCCACACGACGTGGTCATCATGTACTGTATCAGGCTTTTACGGGGCGTTTCCGGTCCCACTTTCATGAGAGTGTCATAGAGGCCATTGAGCCTGATAATCTGTCCTCCGTCCAGTCGCCCCGCATACACTAGCAGTACTAGTTGTATGGACCTCGCGATGTCTGTTATGCTGCTCTCGATCCGGCGTGTCAGCCCTCCTAAAGGCGTCGAAGAGGAGGGCAGCTCAAAACTTGGCTCAACACCGCTCATCAGGACATGATCACGGCTGTATCAAGTACAAGTAGAGACTGAGTTATTCCGCCAGTTGGCAACCTTCCACACCACTAATTCAGTGTGTCGTGATAAACTAAAGCGCGTCAGATTTATTATACTACGTATTGCGTTGATGTGCCGGGTGGAGGCAGAGTTCCCTAGTGTTGGTCTTATTGTCTTACCCGTTCTATGCAATCGTCAACTGTCTGAGTCACCCACGTGGTTGTCTTATTCGGAACGATGGTTGATCGAGCTAGAATAGCCCATCTACGTGCCCAACACGCGACTTGGTCACCAAGTAAAGAGGACAGATGATCGGACACCGGAACGGTTTGTATTTTATTCTGAGCTTTCGGACTCTTCCCGGATTCAATCGTCAGAGATGAGAAGCAGCAACAAAACAGTGGCTGGTTATACCCTGTGGACAAACAGTTAAAATTTGAACTTGCAAAAATCGATAACTGTTAGGTTTGGGCGCCTGATGGCCACGTCAGCACCGAAAATGGGGCGATTATGGAGGATGAGGGGCCAATTGATTATGACGGGCGTCTGGATGTGATCGTATGTAATAGCGCAAGGCTCTGTACGCCGGTGCCAATTCGACACATCTCTTGACAGAATTCTCGTCCGTGGACCAGGCTTCGATAAGTTCTCTGCTCGTCTTGTTTCCAGCGTGGGCGGAGAAACCCGCGAATAGATCTAAGGTACTCCGATGGGATCCCCGATCTCTGGTTTAGTGGCAAGACTGGTCCTGCAAGAACTAGAAAATACCGCCTTCACCCAACACAGGCCCATCAATTGGCGTCGTTACGTGGTTGACACGTTTGTTATCATCAAAAAGAGCATGCTGCAAAACTTCCATAACTTGCTCAATGGAATCTTTCCTGGCATACAATTTACGAGGGGAGGAGAAAAAGTGCAGCAGCTGCCTTTCCTTGATGTTCTCGTCAAGAGAACGCTCAACGGTGAAATCGAGACGACAGTTTACAGAAAACAACGAACACAGCACAACTTCTCAGTTTTCACAGTAACCATCCAGTTGCTCACAAACGGAGCTGTATAAAAACACTCTTCAAACGGATCCAGACTCA